GAGAATGAAGAGAGGGGGCAGGCAGGTAGGTAGGGGTGGCCAGTTATGCATTGCCAAAAAAGAGAAGTTGCACGAAGAAAAAGGACAAAAGAGAATTCAATTCATAAAATTACGTATATTTTGTGGCACAGATGTACATTTAGAAATAACTACTGTAATTGAAGTAGAAATGCAATACATCTCACCACAGTGGGGGAAGACATCAGGTGAATTGTGTGCCTGCTCAGTCAATTTTGAGGTCCTACTCTCCCTTTTGATGGTTCCTTATCTTTAAACCAGGCTTGGACTAGCCAGCCCTCCAATTAGAGCACACCTTCAAAAAGAGGATTTGTTCTCTTGTCCTCTGTGAGCAGCACCAAATTTTAGGTGGTGCGGCCTGTTCCCCGCCCCCACCCCCAGGCATCAAGCTGAGAGGAACGCAAAATAATAATAATATAAAATAGTAATAATACCTATATTTATATGCCTACCTACTCAAAGGTAGGCCTCTGGTCAGAGTTGCCACAACTATGATGTGTTGCACTTGAGAGCATGTGCAGAACGGAAGGCAAGAGTGGGAAAGAGAGGAACCAAATTTTGTCCTTGCTCAGAGTGCCATATTACCAAAATCTGTCCCTCCTGTTAGGTAAGATAAATGGCCATCCTTGGGGGAGGAGGATGGATGCATAGCAAGCTAATTTAAGGATTTTAAGCAAGGCTAGTAACATTTACCTATTTCCCCTAAATAAATTTTCATTGCGGAAATTGAATTGAATATGAGCAAAGAAAGGAACAGTCATATTTGTTTTGTAGTGACAACCTCACAGGTATTTATTATTTCCTTTTTTACACACACACACACACAAAAGCATGGCAGCAAAATACAGCATGCATATGTTCTCTCGATATAAGTATATAGCTCTGTTTTCGCACAAAGATACTGGAAAATCAGGTTACTCATCACACCGCAAAAGACTCGGCATATCTGCAGGTTTGCAAAATATGTGGCCAGGGTTGTATGAGGTGCTCAGCACCCATGACAGTGAAATCAAATGAGAATTAAAGGGCTGCATCAGAATTTCAGGCTTTTGCAATGCCATTCTTTCAGCTTGTACAATTGCTTTCAAAGCTTCTGCTGCTCCTTCAGAGTTCTCTGGGCGGCATTAACTTTTAATGGTCAAAAATTGATCAGCCAAGAAAAACTCCTGTTAACCTGTAAACTGAGAGACAGAGAAAGTTATTTACACATATAACATGCACTGAATTCAGATGGCTGCACTGTATTCAATGACATAGTCTGTGGCAGCAATCCTGTCCACATTCTTACTTGAAAATAAGTTCCATTGCATAAGCATGCGTAGGATCAAGCTGAATGCTTGACAAAGTCAAAACCTTAAAGGGGTTGGTGTCTTCTGATATTTACGGTAAGTGAGCAGCATATATCAAACAGCTTGTAGGAACAAAATCTCTGCTCCTCTGCAGTGCCACCACTTGTGATGACCTGAGGAGGTACTGCAGCTCCCTTTCCAGATAGATCAGAAAAGAAGCAACTGGCCTTATTATATACTAATCAGCCCGCCCTGAATCCCCTGTGCTGGCTCCTTGCCTCCTCTGATATCCAGAACAATTTTCTTGTCGTAACCTTAAAATTTCTCCATGCCTTGCCTCATATCCCAGTATTGTATCCCTGCCCACAATCATTTCTCCTCTTAGCATCTGCTCTGAGATGTCTTCTGAGGACCTTATTGGCAGGAGTGACAGACAGGACAGTCCAGTGGCAGCAGCAGAAGTGTCTGAGATCACAGGGGCAAAGCAGCTCTCTGACAACCCGCTTGAACCTTCCCTGAATCCAGCTCCTGACCCTCCTGTTCACTGCCCCCCTCTACCAGCTCCAACCCTTCTTGAGGCACCAGTGCCACCTTTCTCATCCCACAACTCTCATCTCCCTCAGGTCGTCTACCTCCAAGGCCTTATCTCTGAATCCACTCCTTTGAGATCCTCCCACCTCCTCCATAACAGCCCCATGATATCATTGCCATGCATAATCTTACATACTTCTGTTGGCTCCTCTGTCAGCTGTTTCCCTAAGCTATGAAGCCCCAAGTGTTGCAAACTCCACTGCCTAGCAAGATGCTCCAACTTGTAGCCCTGTTGGCTCAGCACATGGCCATGCATATAGAGCCCATGGGTCCTCAGTTCCAGCCTTGACAGCTCCCAGCAATTATCCTGATGAATAGCAAAGTAGGAAGTCTAAATTGCTGCAGTGCTGCCAGTATCTATTGTGCTGGGTGAGCAGTTACTTAAGTCTTTTTTATTTCATTCCTCCCTGGGAGTAACAAGCGAGGTGGCCTTTATGGCTCACCCATAATAAATTATATCTTCCACCTGAGGCCATTTTTCCAATTCATTGAATGTTCCAGGTCACAGAGCTCCCATTCAACTTTAATCAATAGGTAGCATCTTCTTCTACAATAAAATTAACACTCATACACAGATGCTGCATATGTTAGATGGGCTGAATGCCTCCCGTTTCTGTGAGATTTTCACGAGATGCATTGGATGCTGCATATAACATGTAGGTTCTGTTAAACTGGATCAAAAACTACCATTTGATTGCTGGTGTTATAGGCAGTAAAATTATCTCATTGCTTGTGCTAAAGCAAGGTTCAAATGTTATGCTACACCCTGCAGGTTAAGAACATATCTTGATGCCATTTTATACAGCAGTGTATTGCAACACTTGACTATAATGCAACTTCATCAACAACCAAACCTAGAAAAAGAAAAAGAAAGCTATTTCTGTGTTAGATGAAGTGGGAGGGAATACAGACTGGTGATTTTTGAACCTTGAAAACTTTAAACTCCTTCCATTCCACTCAAAAGCAATAGTAAAAATATATGAAAACATAAAGCTCTTTCTAGGTGACTATTTTCGCTGTTAGCTGTGAGCCCATTGCCTATTCTGGACTAAATGGGATGTGAAATGCAATTGGATTCTCAAGATTTTCGAGAACTATATCTCTCTTCTTCAGCCAATTCAGAAACCTGTGCTAAAAGCAGCTTTTTGTTTCCAGTGCTATGATCATATTTTCCCATTATATAAGTTTGTGGAGCAGATTCCTCCTCCTTTTCACCTTAGCGCAAACCTTGTCGCCATATGAGCTTTCAACTATATTTCTCCTCTGATCTATACACTTACAGACACCTCAACCATCTCTGCAGATGTCTAGGGTGTCTATCTGAAGAGGTTAGCCTAAGATCCTGGCACACAATCACCCGGCATCTGAGATGACTGTGTGTATACCAGAAACAGAAATGGCTGGGCAAAGGTGGGGGAGGGAAGCTAGACTTATTCATTGTATCCATTCCCCCAAAAGCTAACAGGCAGCATCCAGAGGTTCTACCTGTGAGTCATTTCACAGATGAAGCTCACAGAGTGACCTACTCAGTCCCAAGATTGGGATATCCAATCTTGTGCCTTCCAGACGTTATTGGACTCTAGCTCCCATCATCCACAGCCAGTGTGGCCAATGTTGAGGGATGATCCAGAATTGCAGTGCACTGGAGGGGGGGCACCACGTTGCCTTCACAAAAGCGGCTTGCAGATGAGGTGAGCCCACTGCTGCTGCAAGCCAATTTGTCCTAGGAAGTTTGCACACACTAACAATTTGGGGCAATAGGAGAAGTAACTGCTGAGAACCTGAATGAAAAGTGGCCCTTTGCACATCACAAAAAGGAAAATAATGTTACCAATTTGCATATTCTCATTTATCTCTCTAGACTCGCAAGCTTTCTCAACCTGTGGGTCCCCAGATGTTGTTGAACTACAACTCCCATCACCCCTAGCTAGCAAGGCCAGAGCTCAGAGATGATGGGGGTTGCAGTCCAACAACATCTGGGGACCCACAGGCTGAGAACCGCTGCTCGAGAGAAATGACACTGTCTAGATAAATAACACTTAGAAACAATTAAAGGTACCCCTGCCCATACGGGCCAGTCTTGACAGACTCTAGGGTTGTGCGCCCATCTCACTCTATAGGCCGGGGGCCAGCGGTGTCCGCAGACACTTCCGGGTCACGTGGCCAGCGTGACAAAGCTGCATCTGGCGAGCCAGCGCAGCACACGGAACGCCGTTTACCTTCCTGCTAGTAAGCGGTCCCTATTTATCTACTTGCACCCGGGGGTGCTTTCGAACTGCTAGGTTGGCAGGCGCTGGGACCGAGCAACGGGAGTGCACCCCGCCGCGGGGATTCGAACCGCCGACCTTTCGATCGGCAAGTCCTAGGCGCTGAGGCTTTAACCCACAGCGCCACCCGCGTCCCTAGAAACAATTACTATCATCTAAATGAAACAATTAAAAAGGTAAGGTAAAGGTACCCCTGCCCGTACGGGCCAGTCTTGCCAGACTCTAGGGTTGTGCGCTCATCTCACTCTATAGGCCGGGAGCCAGCGCTGTCCACAGACACTTCCGGGTCACGTGGCCAGTGTGACAAAGCTGCATCTGGCGAGCCAGCGCAGCACACAGAAACGCCGTTTACCTTCCCGCTGGTAAGCGGTCCCTATTTATCTACTTGCACCCGAGGGTGCTTTCGAACTGCTAGGTTGGCAGGCGCTGGGAACGAGCAGCGGGAGCGCACCCCGCCGCAGGGATTCGAACCGCCGACCTTTCGATCAGCAAGTCCTAGGCACTGAGGCTTTAACCCACAGCGCCACCTGCGTCCCGTTACTATCATCTAAATCAGGGGTCAGCAAACTTTTTCAGCAGAGGGCCGGTCCACTGTCTCTAAGACCTTGTGGGGGGCCGGACTATATTTTGAAGAGGGGGGGGAATGAACAAATTCCTATGCCCCACAAATAACCCAGAGATGCATTTTAAATAAAAGGACACATTCTACTCATGTAAAAACACACTGATTCCCGGACTGTCCGCAGACCAGATTTAGAAGGCGATTGGGCCGTATCCAGCTCCTGGGCCTTAGTTTTCCTACCCATGATAAAAATAGAAATACAGTGCATCTCACCATAGTGCAGAAGACAGTGACCAGTGTGCCCCTGGTTGGTCTGCTCTCCAGCCGCTTAACTGTTGGTGGACAAATTCTAGGCTCCTGCTTGCTTAGGGTTCTTTATCTTTTAACTGGACTTGGACCAGACCCCTGACAGCCCTACAAAGAAAGTAAAGTAAAGCATATGGTCATTTCTTCATGCAGGCTGCTTGCAGGAGGATTTGTGGGAGGGAGAGAGAGGGGTGGCTGGCATGGTTAGAGCAAAGAGTTTGCATGCATAGCATTGTTTGTTGGGGATGGAGGGTTAGGCTGTATGCCTGAGTCCCTTCTAATTCCTGGATCCCACAAGGATTCCATTGCTGAAAGAGCCAGGCAAGTTTCTTGGTGAGTTAATAGCCCTAAGTACAGGGTTGTTCATATAAGAAAGAAAGCTGCTCTGTGTCATTGTGAACTGGTTAAAACATAACCAAAAATGCTAACTGCTCCATTCAAAATTCAGGGACTTGACAGAATTGAACCAGAACTTCATAAATATTACTGAATATTTCATGATCTTTTATGCTCAGGGGAAGTGCATCCCTTTTGCTTGTTATATAATGTGTTCTGGGCCACTCAATTAGAAAGGAACAAAAAAAATGTGTGCACTGTGCCATGCAGTTCCAATTCATGTGTTTTACTTTCCCAAATGCCAAGTATTTTGAGCCTGATTGGGAAGACTCACATTTTAGAAACACAGGCTCGGTGGTTCTCCCATAAGGGCAGACTTTCCACACTCAGCTTGGTCTCATTTCTCAGAAAATAAAAAGCAGCAAGGCAGTGATCTTGTGCTTCACTTACGCGAAAAACTGAGTCAACAGAGCTATTAAGAAGTTTGGGCACTCTGTAACCCTCCTTGACATGCCTTGTTAACAGTGCAATCTAAGTAACATGAAAAAAATACCCCAAATCACCCTAATTCACCCCTTGGGGCCAAAACACATCCCTAATGTATATAATCTCTTATCCTGTCCAGTCTCAAAACATTTTGAGTAAAGATTACTAAAACACATACCAGTCACTTCCCTAGTTTTTGTGCGCTAAATGTCCTCTATACAGGTCAGTAACTTTATGTATATTCTATATTTAGCTATGTTCTTAGCTCAACAAACATCTGTGTAGCTATATCCCAGGGTCCTGTGTTTATGAGCTTTAGATGTCCTTGATACCTCCTTGAAGATTGCTTTGTCCACCTGTTCCCTGCTGGTTAGAAAGCCTATGAGAAATTATTCACCTTTATTTGGTGTGTGCCCCCCCCCTTCTCCTGATTTACACATACGCTTCTGTTCTTCTCAGGAGCACCAGGTGTATGTGTATTTAGATCGTACTATCTATTATCAAGGCAGATCTGAAGGCATTAATGGAGGTATTTCTAATTATTGTTGTTGCATACTCTCATCTGTGAACACTGCTCTTCTATCGATAAGTACCCTTAGCATCTTACAAAAAATGATTGAAATGCAATTATATGATTAGGTAGGGATGCAGAACCTGAGGACCTCTCAATCAGGGATGGTGAACCTGAGGATCTCTAGATGTCATTAAGACTACAACTCCCATCATCCCTGACCACTGGCCATGCTGGCTAGGGCTGATAGGAATTGGAGTCCAACAACATCTGGAGGGTGACATGTTCCTCATCCCTGCTCTCAACTTTTTTGAACTTCAACTCCCATCAGCCCCAGGCTGGTTGGTAGGCAATTGTAGTCCAACAACATCTGGAGAAGTGTTGCATTACCATACCATACCATTCAGGAAATAAATATACAATACTGTAAAAAAAACAGACAAACAAAAACCCAGCCGACCTTAAAAAAGCAGATAAAATAATTAAAAACAGTAGCAGAGCTGGACATTAAATGCCTTTTAAAAATAAAAATGCTTTCTATTTCTGTCGGGAGAGTGCCAGACAAATCTCCACAGAAAAGGCAATGTGGTATACAGGAAGATCTAGGGAACGAAGCAAGACTTTCCGGGATGAACCAAGGAGGAGTAATTTGTTGGTCCTTATGCCTCCATAATAAGCCTTACACACACACACACACACACACACACACACACATTGTGAACATTTTGTGCAGGGGGAAAAATACTCCCTGTTCATCTCCAAAGGCATTATCTGTTGAAGTTACTAATGGTTCATTAGTTGTTAATAATAAACATTAAAATAATGATGACGATAAGTATAGTTGGAGGTCTTAAAGCACCCCAAAGAACTAGTCTATTATCCCAGCTTCAGATTCCTCACAAAGCTTCTTCCCTTCTTTCATTATGATGTCAAACACATATATTTGCTTTCTTCTGATGTAACCACCCATATATAATTGGGTATTTTTTAATATAAAAAAGGGAGGGGGAATAACAAATCTAAATATTCAAAAGGAAAAGTGAAGAAAACACCCTGAAGTTTTGAAATTCTCACACCTCTTGAGTGTACTGGAGGTTGCATTTACCTCCATCTACTCTTCAGTGATTGTCATGGGGGGGGGGAGTTAAATGGAAATGTCAAGCGCTGAGAACGTGAGGCAGCGAATGTATGATTGAACTCGCAAAGAAAACACCCTCATAATAAACAAGCGAAGATCTATAGGGAGGGAAATTTTCCCCTGCACTTGAAATTTAACAGTCAACTGTCAACATCCTACACATAACTGTCATGAAGAACCTCTAAATCTGTCCTTGTTTATGGCATGTGTTATGACAAGAGTTGAGAGTTTCTGAAAGAGCTATAATTGGCACCTAAACATCCAGCGTTTTGTCAACTGCGATCGTGTTTAGGGAAAGCTTTAATTTTGTTTCCTTCCTGAAAGAGTTGACAGAACTTTTATTTGCTCATTAGCATTTGCAACTCTTTTTTTCACCTCCTTAGTAACATTTTGCCCGTCGGAGACATAGGGACCTTTCAGTGTAAGCCAGGAACACATAAGGGAAGCCAATATTAATTCAGTTGCAATAAGACCAGGATGTTTATGAATGTTTTGATTACTGCAGACACTTCTCATTATCAGGGTGGTAAGAAATGACCTCTGGATAGTGTCTAGTATTTTTGCTATGCTATCGTAGGAGAACATGTGAGAATCTAGGAAATAACCCAGAAAATAGTCTTCCCCGCTTCAATCCTGAATATGCACGAGGCATAGCAAGATGAACAGAGTAAATGAGCACTTAAATAAAGGCAATTATTTTCAGTAGTGTGTTTTCTGCATGGTGCAGTGATCAGAATATCAGGCTAGGATTCAGGAATCCTAGGTTCAAACCCTCACTCAGGGATGTTGTGAGGATCAAATGAGGAGCGGGGAACTATGCACACTTCCCTGAGTTTCTGGGACGAAAGCTGGGCTTATAAATAAAATATTAAATAACCACTCCCATTGACAACTGAGGCATAGTTCCACAGTTTCTGAGTTACTAATGAATTTGAGCACAACAGTGTCATTCAAATATACAGACTGACTGTTCCCTTAGGTCCCCCACTGTGATACTATGATGTCTTGTGACCCCCTAACACCTCCCCCATAAAATGTGGCCATTAAAAAAAACAAAAGCAATAAATAATAAATAATTTTAAAATGTGTTTTTTATAGAAAAAATACTGAGTGCTCCAATGGATACCCCACTGATGCAAAAAGCCCCCCCCCCAACCAGGTATCTATCTTAACATTAAATTTTAATGGAATGTTTGAATTCCAGGAAAGCAATTCCTCAGTTTGGGATTAGGATATGAATCATAGAATAATAGAATCATAGAGTTGGAATAGACCACAAGGGCCATCGAGTCCAACCCCCTGCCAAGCAGGAAACACCATCAGAGCACTCCTGACATATGGTTGTCAAGCCTCTGCTTAAAGACCTCCAAAGAAGGAGACTCCACCACACTCCTTGGCAGCAAATATGAAGGGATGTCATTGTCATTCTCCCTCTTTTCCTTCCAACCTGCCATTTTTCTTAAGCCACTTGGCCCCGAAGCTCCGATCTGCCGCAGATAAAAGCCTAACAGCAGAGCTTCCCAATGTATGTTGAAAGATCTGAATTTTGGTTCTCGTCCTCAGAGTAATCAAATCTCAGCGATTTAAAGAAAGGCTGGATTTCTTACAATCACCCCATCAAGTTTAAATGAGGTGGAGGGGCTAGCAGGAGTTTCCTTTCTCTCTCTTGGACTTAGTGCCAAAGTGGGGGGGGGGGGGGCAAGGAGTATCTCATTCAGTAGTTCTAATTATAGTAGAATCATCTATCTGTGTCAGCATTACAGACTCCAAGAAACAAGTTACCCGGAGATGAAAAGCAGCAGATCAATAAAAGCTAGATGGGTTTTCAGGAGTCTCCTACTACCAGAGCACAAAAAGTAGCAAAGCAGCAATTGTCAACAGCTACACTGCTCAGCTAAAATTTCCCCAGCCCACAATGAAATACAGCACTACTAATAACAAATGCCTATAGGGATTCCCTTTTCTTCCTCGTCTTCTTTCCATCTACAATGCATTGTCCAACCCCACCCAACCCCTTATCCCACAGAGGCACACCAGCCTACCAAGGTGGGGCCGGCCCGTTGCACTCCCATCAGCACAGCCGCAAGGACCAGAAGGGCTAAGAGAGGCGGATTCTCCAGGTAGGAGAAAACCAGCAGCAACTGCAATAGGAACAGCAGATGCCAGCATTGTCCTGGCCAATCAGTTTATGGCTGAAAACGCTTTTGCAGCTCCTTCCTGGAGATAGGCAGCAACCAGACCTTCCTGTTCAATGTGGGAAGACTGGGGGATAGAGGGGCATAAGTGCCGCCACGCCCCTCACATGCATAAGAATTAAAAACAACTGCATATGGCTAAGGAGAGAGGGCAGCAAACGGGAGATGCAGACAGGGGAATATTTTTTACACAGTTAGAAATGGGTACCATGCGGCAGGCTGGGATTAAAGGTGGGCCCAAAGACTGAAAAGGTTGAAGGCTGTTGAATGAATATGTACAGCAGTTTGCTGGGAAGAGAAATCCATGTTGGTTTTTGAAAACTTGGCTTGGGGACAGTGGTGGAGCTTCATGCTCTGGCACCAGGGGGCGGAGAGCAGGTGGGGGGCTGGCGCGCGTCCTGGGGGCGTGGCATGCCACCCACAGTGGCGTGGCATGCATCCT